CTTGGCTTTATGATTCGCTAAATGATCAACAATACGAAAAATTATATTATCCTACACCAGAGATGAAGGCAGAATGCGAATACGAATTAAATATATACTTAACTTCTATTTTAGAAGAACTTATTACCGAAAAAAGCCAAGAAATAAATACCATCGATCAAATTATGAAAAATCAAAAAGGCGTTGGAAGTCATTTAAAATGGTGTAAAAAATGCAATACGACCAATATAGATAATAAAAAACGTACTTGTCCTAACTGTAATGAAAAATTGGATACATTAGCTGCCTTACAAGCCGAATCAGCTAATGAATTAATTCAGGTTGATAATATAACTTCTCAATCAAGAACTCCTATAATAAAGACTTATGAATATGCTCAAAATCAAAAAGCTTCTTATTTAGGGCATATTAGTATTACACAACAATCTGAACCCGATCAAGATGTTGTCGTTCCGGAAATGTATATGCCAGATCCGTTGAAAGTTAATCCTAATTCGCTAAATAATGTCAAAAAAGTTTTAAAACATATACAAAGTATTACTGAAATCAATAAAGGGGCGAGAAAATGGTTACCTGTTACTTGCGATGGCGTTCCCTATAATTTAGCACAAAAGATTAAAGACGATTTTCCATGGCTTATACTGATTCCTGGAGCCCTGCATGAAGAAATGAACATGCTTAAGTCATTTGTAGAATTAAATTGGTATTATTTCTTCGAGTGAATATTTCAGATATCTTTTTTGATTAATACTTAAATTAATTTTACCAATGCATTTTTTAAGGTCGATTGACATCAGACAATTCACTACTCTCCAAGGATATAGAACCGAAAACCAACTTGGATTTTTTAAAAAATGTGCTGACCATCACAAGTTATGGGACTCTATTTGCAATATTTACCAACATGCAATGGCTTGTGAATTATTATGGCCATACGTAGTTGCAACTGATGACCCTTCTGTTGATGATTATCTAAATTGGGCGAAAATACAAAATGACCACATATATAACCTAAAATTTGAACAGGTAAATTTTAAAAGAATACATAAGTATCTAAAAACATAACTAACAACATTAGTATTATAGATATTTACATACTTTCAAGCAATCATTAACTTTCGTATAGGTGTTAGAAACAACCGGCCATTATTGGTGAATGCTGCTCGACGTATGTTTGCACCAATATGGTCTGGTCGTAAACACCCTATTTACCGTTCAATTGAGATAACTTATGAGGTGCAATTAATGCGGTTAAATCCTGAGATTAGACAACGTATAAAGCTATACTCCGTCATTTCACGATCAGGTTATTCTAACCAGCATCAAAGACTTGATGCTATTCTTGAAGAAGTAAATAAGTCTTTAAAAGCCCTAATTCCACCTGTACCTTTACAGAAACATTGGAGAATAGCAGCACGGAATTGTACGAAGTTTATAAAGGTCAGCAAAATATATCTAAAATATACCAAAAAAAACAAAAAAAAATTAAATTTATACTTATTTTTGAAATAATTATTAGTTGCGCCACATGTTATTTAATATGATCGGGCATACTGATAATGAATCATCAGGAGGTCGGTCACTCCCTGATTATATCTCAGAATCACAAAAATTTCGAGTTCAATTGCGAAAAATGAGATTTTTGAATCCACAAAATAATGATCGTGCATTTAAAAGTCTTGGAGGGGAGTATTCACTTAGTGAACAACTAAAAAATTTTAGTAG